GTCACGGCTTGATGAGAGTGCAGCTTGCTACCGGTACATCTTCACGAGATGCTCTGGTGTAGTATTCAGAATAATAGCCAAGCCGGATAGGGATAGGAAGTGAACCACGTGACAATGTCAGCTCCTATGCATTTTGTGGGGGCTCCTGCATCCGCTGTTGCTCTTGACAGTCAAGACGAGTGCAAGCGAGTAGTAATAACAACATATAGGCAATGCAGGACAGCAACCTAGGCTAGATACTGGAGCAACAGCAACGTGTAGCCACTACAGGCCGCCTTGCCGCAGCAACTTGGTCTACTGTTTCAAAGCATAAGATCTCCACTGACAACCTAGCAGACATATGTATACCTCTATAAAAAAAGCATTGCTGAATTGTCATGGGGGTAGTGTCGATAAATAACGGACAGCCAGAAAGGTGGGTTCTTGCAGTTCCGGGGTTGCCGGCCCTTGCCCTTGTGCTTGCGTAGGGCCCAAAAAAAGCACTTAAGCAAAACTTAGGATAGGGACATCCCACATAAACCCCCGTAAAAGGGAGCCCAATAAGGGTGGGTAAAATGCTTATGCTCATCTGCTTTTCGGGTCCCTAATCAGCACGCTTCGCAGCAGGAACTCGTGCAGGATCAAGCGGCGTGGAGTACATTGCATGTCCATGTGGAAATCGACAGACGACGGCCACCAATTTTGGGTTTACCGCCAATTTTGAGGGGTCTAGTGTCTTGTTTTCCAATTCTAAGTTTTCTGTTGTTTCGCGGGCTTCAATTGATTTCTTGGGTATTCAATGCATTTGTGGTTTAGGGGTTGGATTTAGGGCTTTAGATCTTTCACTGGTTACATAGGCTGTAAGTTTTTAGCTTTCTTAGAGAATTGATATAGGCTTTAAACTATGTACAGGATTCGATGCCCCAAAAGACTCTCCTCTGGACACCAAGGCATCTGCAGCTTTGACATCTCTGCGAGGTAACCGCTTCTCGAGACCGTCCATTTGGGCCATAACGCAGGCATCAGGACTAAAAGGATAATTACATGCTCAGGCGCCTCAACTCAATCTAGAGTTGCAAGAGTAAGGACGACGTTAAGAAAACTAAACGCTAGTTCCTAAACCTTAAACCCCTAAACTCCTATATAAACCTTAAACCCTAAACTCCTAAACCTCAAACCCTAAACTCCTAAACCCTGGTTCGAGCTTCTGCTCCAGAGGTCCTTCTCCGCCGCCATCGATCACCGCAGGCCAGTTCGCCTGGCGACTGCAGAAAAAGAAAACTTGGGAGTTTCCGACAATTAGGGGTACCTTATCTTGGGGGTCCTTCCAACCAGGATCCTACTACTTAGGGTACTATATTCGGGTTCCCTATTTTCGGAAACTCCCATATTTTAGGAGTCCTTATCATAAGGATCCTACTATTTGGGGTACTGTATTAGGGTCCCCTATATTCGGAAACTCCCATTTACAGGCTTAGAAGCGGCTTCGAGGGCTTCTCGGTTTAGGGTTTAGGGTTCAGAACTCTTAGGGTGCTTTGGGAGTATCCGTGAGTTCTGTCAGTTTTCTGACGTTGGGGTTTACAGGGGGCATTCATGAAATTTGCGACCTGGCGCGGCGCAAGGCTCAAAACTTTTGGGATCCGGCTTCGATAGACAGTGGCAGAGCCTAAGGAAAAGCTCTTAAGCTCGAAGTCTGGAATCCCAAACCCTAAACCCTTCACTCGCAAATTCGTTAATCTAGGGGTCTTAACCAAAATGAAAAAAGCAAACGGAAATTAAGCTCTGGGGTTTGCCGCACAAGAAAACTTGGAGCTAAAATCACATGTCCTGATTTCTGATGACAACTACAATCGCCCCTGTTTCTCAGACCGTTGCCATGGCCCGTTCCATGTCACAGTTCGCTACGAGTACTCTTCCTGCTCTCGGATTTTCACTCTGTAAACTGTAAACCCAACACCCTGTACTGCCTGTACTAGCTCAATCTGTTCAACTTCTTGAATCCAACGAAATGTAGAAACGAGAAAGAAATGAGCTCTGGAAATCCTTCATTGAGGAGGGTGGACATTGGTGGACTCGCAAAACATGAAAATGGGGTAATGCCCTCGAGTGACTAGTAAACTTCAAAGTAGGAACTGTCACTGTGCATGGAAATTCGACACAACATGCTGGCGCAATCGCTCGGTCTGAACGGGCACTGTGCAGCCTGGACCTGTGCACCAATCCTTTTTTGCACTCGGAGAGTCGGAGTCTCAGAGGAAGAAGGTTCGATTCGCCCCGGTTGGACTGGCAGTGGCGCATGTGCACGGGCTCAGGCGAAAAGGCGAACAACTGACTATAGAAGTTATGTCAATTCTGCAATGCGCTTGACGAGTGCTGAACGGCTGAAGTCTGAAGTTGCTGAAAGCTGATTCGCTTATGCCTGGCCTCGGGCTTACGCCTAAGCTTTCTTGAAATATGGTGCTAGAGGATTCGGCTGACTCGATTGTTGGGCCGCCGCAGCTTTAGCCGCCGCCGCCGCCGCCCGCGTTGAAGCCCTCGGAGTTTTGACCTTCGGCGGCAGCATGTCTAGCAGCTCTGCGCTCGGCCGGAACAGTGGGCGGCGATCCTGGGCAAAGCATTTAGGATCATAAGGTTTAGGGCTTAGCGGCTTCGGGTTTAGTTTAGGGTTACGGTTATGCGGGCCCGGGGCCCAGGCCCATGACCTGTGACCCGTGGCGGCTGACATATTCGAGCTGATTTTTGAATTGCTGGCAATGGCAAGGCCCGCTGACCAAAAATGACCGAAAGACTTTGAAAGACCTTAGAGACCTAGAGTTGCCATTAAGACATTAAAACCGTGGTCATGGATATTTTACCCTACTACTACCTACTACTGGCTGCTGGGCCGGAACTTGAGACAGCGAAAATAAACAGCTAAACCCAGTGGCCCAGTGCAGTGCCGAGTCACTTTCGGACATGTAGACTCAGACGACTCAGCCTCAATCTTCGACTTTTTCAGGTGCTCCTCACGTGGTAACACGTTTGGGTTTGAGGAACTTTGCGAGACTGCAGACTCTGCCGATGCTGAGACACATCGGCCTCGTCGGCATCGGTGTTCTCCGGCCCGCGCTTGATTCCACACGGAACCTATCGGTGAACTAGAAGTTCGAAGACTGATCCCACCGGTCTGGCTTTATTAGGCTTATGTCTGTAGGTATGTACATTCTGTCAGTCTGACTCTGCGCCATGCTCCTACGTCAGCGCCTCAGGATCAGGATCGTCAGGACCCTCAGGGGCGGCTGCAGCTCCGGCAGCAGTAGCAGTAGCAGCAGCCTCAAGGCACCAAGTGAGGCTTGGCAAAGTTTGTCGCGCGAACATGTGGCATGCGACTCGCATTCTGCAGCTCCGGCACATCGATGACGGCCTGCTTCTCGGTTGGCATTGGCACCTGCCGGGACTGGTGGCCAGTGACTTGTCTGCCAAAGATTCAAATGACTGTGAAAAACTTTGTGTCATGCGACACGCGACTTATGGAGCCTCTGACTCTGACTCTCTAGTGGGTCGCTGCTTCGGGAGCACCTCGTGCAGCTCAGGAGCGGCAGCCTCAAGGAATCAAGTGGGGTTTGGGAAACTCGTGCTGTGAACATGTGACGTACATGCGACTCCGCTGCTGCTCAGGCACGTCGATGGGTGCCGGCTCCGACTCTGACGGTGTTTGCTGTTGCTGCTCGGTCGTGGTCGGAGTCGGAGTCGGAGCCTGTCTTATGTTGGGATTTCTGCGAAAACACAGCAACAATGCATCATGCCAATCCTTTATGCCTACGACTACAGAGCCTCAGGTTGCTGCCCGGGAGCAGTCAAGGAAACAAACAAAGTTTGGGGAAATTAGGTCACAAGCCACAGGGCACGATAAGTTGATAAGACTCCGGACGACTCCAAACTCTGTAACTCTGCTGCTCAGGGACGTCGACGTCGCCAAGGCGTTCCTGCTTGGACTCTGGCGGATCTTGCTGCTCGGGCACAGTCGCGGTCGGAGTCGCAGCCATCGCAGCCTCTGCCAAGGAACCAAACACCAGGTTATTCGGTCACAAGGCACTGGCACGATAAGAAGACCCAGACCCAGACTCTGTGCTGCTCAGGAACGTCACCAACGCGTTCATGCTGCGACTCTGGCGGATCTTGCTGCTGGGTCGTGGTCGGAGTCGGAATCGGAATCGGAGTTTCAGGAGCGGCAGCCATGGCAGCCTCTGTCAAGGAAACAAACAGAGTTTGGGGAAATTGGGTCACGGGGCCACGGGGCACGATAAGAAGACTCCAGACGACTCCAAACTCTGCTCAGGGACGTCGACGTCGCCAAGGCGTTCCTGCTTGGACTCTGGCGGATCTTGCTGCTCGGGCACAGTCGCGGTCGGAGTCGCAGCCATCGCAGCCTCTGCCAAGGAACCAAACACCAGGTTATTCGGTCACAAGGCACTGGCACGATACGAAGACCCAGACCCAGACTCTGTGCTGCTCAGGAACGTCACCAACGCGTTCATGCTGCGACTCTGGCGGATCTTGCTGCTGGGTCGTGGTCGGAGTCGGAATCGGAATCGGAGTTTCAGGAGCGGCAGCCATGGCAGCCTCTGTCAAGGAAACAAACAAAGTTTGGGGAAATTAGGTCACAAGCCACAGGGCACGATAAGTTGATAAGACTCCGGACGACTCCAAACTCTGTAACTCTGCTGCTCAGGGACGTCGACGTCGCCAAGGCGTTCCTGCTTGGACTCTGGCGGATCTTGCTGCTCGGGCACGGTCGTGGTCGGAGTCCGAGTCCCAGCAATCGCAGCCTCTGCCAAGGAAACAAACAGAGTTTGGGGAAGTTCGGTCACAAGGCACGATAAGAAGACCCAGACTCTGTGCTGCTCAGGAACGTCACCAACGCATTCATGCTGCGACTCTGGCGGATCTTGCTGCTCGGGCACAATCGGAGTCGGAATCGGAACCTGTCTCACGTTGGAGTTGCTGCGAAACACACAGCAACAATGCATCATGCGAATGTGCTAACGACTACGGAGCCTCTGCGGCTGGATCCTGAGCCTGAGATCCCTCATGAGCGGCAGCTGCAGCTGCAGCTGCAGCAGTAGCATCTTCCTCAAAACAAGAAGTGAGGTTCGCTGATCTCGAAATTTGGGCTTGAACACGCGGCCTAATGATTTAAGTTGATAAGAAGACTCCAGACGACTCCAAACTCTGTAACTCTGCAGCTCAGGGACGTCGACGTCGCCAAGGCGTTCCTGCTTGGACTCTGGTGGATCTTGCTGCTCGGGCACGGTCGCGCTCGGAGTCGCAGCCATCGCAACCTGTGCCAAGAAAACAAACAGAGTTTGGGGAAGTTCGGTCACAAGGCACGATAAGAAGACCCAGACTCTGCGCTGCTCAGGAACGTCACCAACGCGTTCATGCTGCGACTCTGGCGGATCTTGCTGCTCGGTCGTGGTCGGAGTTGGAATCGGAGTTTCAGGAGCGGCGGCAGCCATGGCAGCCTCTGTCAAGGAAACAAACAGAGTTTGGGGAAATTGGGTCGGAGTCGCAGGGCACGATAAGAAGACTCCAGACTCCGGACTCCAGACGACTCCAAACTCTGCTCAGGCTGCTCAGGGACATCGACATCGACGTTGCCAAGGCGTTCCTGCTCTGGCGCTGGCAGATCTTGCTGCTCGGGCACAATCGGAACCTGTCTCACGTTGGAGTTGCTGCGAAACACACAGCACCAATGCATCATGCGAATGTGCTTACGACTACGGAGCCTCTGCGGCCGGATCCGGGTCCTGAGCCTGAGATCCCTCATGAGCGGCAGCTGCAGCATCTTCCTCAAGACAAGAAGTGAGGGTTCGCTGATCTCGAAATTTGGGTTTGAACACGCGGCCTAGTGACTATAGTGAGACTCCAGACGACTCCAAACTCTGCTGAGGGACATCGACGTTGCCAAGGCGTTCCTGCTCCGACTCTGGCTCTGGCAGATCTTGCTGCCCGGGCACAATCGGAACCTGTCTCACGTTGGAGTTGCTGCGAAACACACAGCACCAATGCCCAATGCATCATGCGAATGTGCTTACGACTACGGAGCCTCTGCGGCCGGATCCGGGTCCTGAGCCTGAGATCCCTCATGAGCGGCAGCTGCAGCTTCAGCTGCAGCAGTAGCATCTTCCTCAAGACAGGAAGTGAGGGTTCGCTGGCTGATCTCGAAATTTGGGTTTGAACACGCGGGGACTAGTGACAAGTGACAAGTCTTCCAAAGACTGCGAAAAAACTCCGTAGCATGCGACTTATGGAGCCTCTGATTTTGCAGTGGGTTGTTGTGTTGCTTCGGGAGCACTTCAAGATTTCAACACTTCAAGTCGATCAAGTGCGGCGGCGACACAGATTCGGAACCTGTCGGCCTGTCGGCGGACTTGCTTTTGATCTATTCTGAAATGCGAACGTGGGGCCTTGCGTGCAGCACCGGGCCGCAGCCGCATCTCGGCTGGACGCCTCTCGCACATCAACTGGAGATCCTCCATGGCATTCATCAGATGGCGCAGTACGGCATTCCTGGGAGGGCTGGCGAGGGCGGCGAGGGCTGGCTGTCATGAGCAATGGCACGAGGTAGACCGGTAGTAGACCGACAAGGGCAGGCCATGCACACGACTCATGCAGATTAGCATCTCAGGCCACACCTGCTGCAGCTTGTCCAGAGATCCATGGGTGTCGTGATCCACAACACCTCAGCTGTCAGCTCGCAGCATTTGCAACAAAGCACAAGCCTTGGCACAAGCACATCTGCACATCCCTGGACTGGACATCCGACGACATCCGACATCCCCAGCAAATCCCTAGTCTGCAGTGAGTCTGCAGTGTCTGCAGTCTGCAACCCCGCAGCCGAAGCCCTCGTTAAACCAAGAGCTAGATAATTTCGGGTCCGGTCCGGGTTTAAGCTTCAGGTCAGGTCAGGGCAGGGCAGGGATTCAAGCCGACCGTGAGTGAGCCTGAGCTGAGCAATCCCGTGTTCGATCGTGCCGGCCTACGTGCCTACGTGGGCCTACGGGGTTCTGCACAGCCGAACAGCCGTGCTTGCAACAGCTTCTACTTGGAGGGTCGGGGGACTTAGTAAGTAGGTAGTAAGTAGACTTTTAAGTACCCTAAAAGGGACCCTAATTGGGGTTATGGTACTTATAAGTCCTTAAAATAATAACCAGTTACTAAGTCCCCCGACCCTCCAAGTAAGCGACTGGGCCGCCGCCCTATCCGCACTACCTATTACTACCTATCCGGTGTTTCTCCTCAGTTGACTTAGTTGAACTTAGTTGTTCCTAGTTTCTACCTCACCCTTTGGCCCTCTGACAAGACTCTGACGCCGACGCCGACGCTACAACTACAACCGGCCCACTGTGATTTTCACCACCACCATCACCACCGTAACTGTAACCGACTGCACCAGTGAAAATTGGGCAGTTTAACTTCAACCAGCCCCCAGTCCCCGAGTCCGATCAGATCCGCTTCTGCCAGGTCACAGGTGTGCACCTTCACGGTGAACACGGAGCCGATGGCCTTCTCCACGCAGATGCAGCCAGGTGGCACGTACACGATATCGCCCGTCAGGGCATAAATCTGTCTGAGGCTGCGCATTTCCGAAAGGTCCGCCCCGTTGGGAAATCATGAAAACCAAACTAATGGACTAATGGGCTAATGGGTCAAAACAGCCAAACTCACGGCGCTGAAAAGCATGGCATTATGACATACTATTAACATTCCTTCCAGGACTACCTGATTTCACTGCATCAACCCAAAACGGACACTGGAGACACTTTCTGATTTCTGACACTCCGACTCCGGACTCCGGACTCCAGACTCGAGACGCTCCAGGCTCCAAACGATGATCCCAAACTCAGCCCGGCTCGGCCCTGGCCCTGCCTGGTACGTGAAATTTGCTGACTCTGACTCGTCTGACTCTGGCGGCGGCTCCCGGCGCATGAACTCCAGGATCTCCACATAATCTGCTATAACTAACAGTTTGTTCCCTTGCATGACGTAGTTCAGAGAGCCTGCTCCGCCTGCACCACGCTGTGCATTGATGCTCAAGTTCACAACCACAGCCGCACACGTGCAGTCACACCCGCTACAGCAGCAGCAGCTCATTCAACTTTCATGCAACACAACCCTACCCCTTTGGCCTTCTTCACCCACCTGCCTGCACTACACACACACACACACACACACACGCACCCTTAAACGGTTCTGCCCGGCCTAACATCCAGCCAGCGAAAACGTTCTGGTCAATCGCACCCAAAAGGAAGACTGAGCTCCACTTGCGAACACCCTCCTTCAACAGCTTCACGTCGCTGTGTGTCTCGGCAACACCCAGCCCGTCCAATTTGTCTCGCCTGTCGTCAGACCTTACTGGCGAGCAGCCGGGGCATGACTTTGATTCTGACAGTGATGACGAATGACAAAGAGCCCACTATCACCAACTCCGGGTTAGGGCTGAAGCTGAAACTTCGGGTTTCGACACGCACATTCGCACAATGCAGGCACGGCTTCTGATGTCCAACTTCGGGTTTAGGGATTAGGGCTTTGGGATTAGGGTTCAGGGTTTAGGGTTATGGCTATGGCTGTTCGGAAAATGTGGTGTTGGGCAGTTGGGCTGAGGAGCTGAGGACTCGTGAACCCTGAAAACCACCATCGAAATCTTCAACCCTACATGGTCAACGCACCCTCCATAGAGCCCCTGCGGTCAGTACTATTTAGGGAGTGATGCCGGGTCTTTGGTTGGGAGGTTTGGGCAAACCCCAAACCCCACATGCAAAGCCTACACCGCCCTAAATCTTAAACCTAGGATAGGCTGTACGGTTTAGGTTCAGCACTTTACAGCGGGACAGAATACACCCCAAATCAAAACCCAAGATGTTTGGCCAGCGGCTACCGATTCACGAACTGCCAGGTCCCTGGCATTGGCACTACGATACTGCTTTCGTTTATCACAACTCGAAAAGCAAGTTAGGTTATTGCAGTTATTGCAGCAAAGCATCACAGCTTCCATCGCGTTACGATCGACAAACAATGTGTATCTTGCTTCGCGAGGCTGCGATTCCCACAGTCGCTTCACCTGACACGACATGTCTGATATATGGACCCTCTGCGACTCAGCTCTGAGGTCAATCCGACACACACATCTACGGTCTACGGCCCCACAATTGCACAACCTTTTAATCCGAACATCACACCGCAATCTATACAATCAGTTTGTCCTACTGAAGAACCTGCCTGACTGTCTGCTGCCACGACTTCCGCAGCCACGTCATCCAGAATTTGTGTTTTCCGCGGCTTCTCCGGAGTGAGCTCCTCAATCATTTCCGTGATTGCCTGAATTGCAGGTACTGCAAGATTGCAAGCTTAGATGGGTTCACTCCTTACAAAGGTAATACCTACAGTCTACAGTCTACAAATCGGGACCATTGGGCTGGACGGTGCCTTGGGGCCTGGGTTTAGGGCCTCCGGTGGCTAGATTGAATTAGCTCGGTTGCTGAAACACAGTGACGTCAGCAGTCCAACAAATCACAAGGAGACTGCTGCCTGACATTGGACCAAAGCCGAGCCCCAGGCCCTAGGCCAATGGGCAATGCGGACCATGTGGTCGGTGGCAGGGTTTAAAATGCTTGACATTGACATGACGCCTGGAAGCACAATGAAACTGCCAAATGATCTAAATGCATCCAAGGATACTGTGGTGATTACTTTCGAGATCCCGTTCTGAACCTCCTTGGGCGGTGTGTCAGCTTTGGCGTTCGCCATCATCTTCTTCAGCGACCCTTTTCTCAGACGGGCGCAGACGGGCTCGTTGGAGGCGACTGCAAACAACATGTGGTCCAGGCATTCCCCAACCTCCATTTCCGGGATGCCCCTGAAGTTCTTGAGGAGTTCTGGGTCCGTCTCCGACAGCTGTTCCGGCTTGGGTCCCCTTTTGCATCGCTTACTTCTGTTTTTCTGGTCGCCGTCATCCTGCTCAATCACTGCAGCATCACATCAAAACCTACATCCGCTGCACGCTTTACAATTACATGCAGCCTGGCCGCGGCATCATCATCTTTGGGGCCGCCATCGCCGCCCCCAGCGGCCCCATCGCTTCGTCGCTTCTTCGCATTCTGCTTATCCTCCTCCTTCTTGCGTTTCTTCTCTTCCTGCTCGCCTAAGCTTTACGACTCTATACTCCCTCCACGTCGTCCGCAAATCCACAAAGTCCGGTTCGTGAACGATTCGTGGAATCGTGGAGTCCACGATTCCACGAACCGAGTAATGAATAAGTACCGCCATTACACACGCTCCGCCAGACTCAGCAAACTCAAACCCGGTGATGACTGTCAGGCTGTCAGGTCCAGTCAATTTTTTGCGTCACTCAAAAATGCACGCAACAACAAGCGACACAAAACGAAACTGACAAAGATTTGCACACCGGCGACAACCCCACACGATTTCGGGTCCACCCAATGCAGACCAACCACGTTCTTTCTTCTTTTCTTTCGCATCTTCGGCTGCACGTTTTTTGTCTTCCTTCTCCTTAGCCTTGCGCTCATCTACGATGGCTTTGGATTCTGCTGCCACAGTGGCACGCCAATTCTCTGCTTCGCATGAGATGCTTTTCGCGACAGCCGTCAGAAGCTGCAAAGCTTGCTTGTGGGTGGCGAACTTCTGAATTACAACCGCTGTGCTGGGCAAAAGCTTGCTTTTGATCTCGCGAAAGTATTTTAGCAGCCCGAGAGAACAGCAGATCTCCTCAGAAACCTCTGGCGTCTTCAACTCCCGAAAATGGGGGTCCGCCATCAGGGCTTCCATGGCTTGGCGCTTGAATTTCTGGATCTTGTCACCCGTGAGGGAAGAATCCCGGTCCATCATCAGCCTGGCTATGCTCACTCGCGATCGCAACAGCGTCAGGGACGGATCAAGATGCATGCGCATGTTACTGATGCGCTCTTCCTTGCCATCCTTTGCCCCCAAGTCCAAACCTTTTGTTCCCAAGTAAAGTTCGGTTGCCTGCTGCTCCACTTTCTCTGCTGTGGCCAGGGCCTTGATCAGCGCGGCCTCCGCGCTTGTGTACTCCCTCACTGTCTGTGAGCGGAGGCGAGCAGCACATGCTGCGGGCGTGAGCTTCAACAGCGCCTGCTCCTTCTTGTCAAGAACCAGTCCCAGTCCCCCATCGCTCAGGGGCCTGGCATTGGCTCCAGAGGTGTTGCTGGAACCAGTGGCACCACCACCACCACCACCACTCCCACCGACAGTACTTGATCTCGGAGGAGAGGTCAAAGGCACGCCAGTATCCTTCAAGTGCACATCAGTTCGCGTGGAGATGAGGGATGAGGGCATGACATGACATCAAAAAATCTAGATTCGGCTGCCGGCTGTCCCGGCTGCGCTCAAAGTTTACAATAGGGGCTAGGTTAACAGGGCCATCCTCCAAGTCCAACTCGTTCAGGATCTGCTTCCTGAATGAGTTAAGCTCCGTCTCGTTCTTCTCGGAAAACTTCTTGCACTCTTCCTTGTCGACGGCCTCTTCCTGAGATGGCCATTGTCTAAGGATGTCTAGTCTAGGGAATCCAACAGCGCATTTATGCGGCCCCAGAATCTCGGAAGTTGCTGTCTGCCTCCTCTTCCCCCACAGCAACCCACACCCTCTTGACCTCACCCAGGCCAGCATGCTGCAGCATGGTCAGCATTCAGTGGCAGTCAGTCAGACACGGACGGACGGCAGGGTGTTTCGGCCGACTGAGATAAATCGAGGCACCAGCCCAGCGTCGGAGCCATCCTTGTTATTCGCTGGAACCTGGTCCCTCCGAACCGTTGGATCGCGTTGGTCCTTCCTCCAACGGGCGTCTGCAGCTTCTTCTGACAGGCCTTGGACTTGGAACCGGAACGATTGCGGCGATGACGGCTAGGAGCAAACAGCAGCATCAGCATCGTGTATCGTGACACAAAACGCATACCTGCAGTACGGCTCCTGACTACGTGTGCTACCTGAACTCGACATTGCCATCAATCTTTGAGGCTGGCTGCGTCTGTATCGCGGACAACCTTCGGTAAACCATAGGATGTACTCATCATAGGTCAACGGCTTCTTCACGGTCTTGTCCTGCCAAAGGTTGAGGTTCTACATTTCGACATCTCAAAGCCCTTGCGATCGAAGTGTCATGCTTGCAACATTGCAACCAACCAAGGCTGAAAACGTCTCTTGCTTTGGGTCTTGCAGCCAAAACGATCTCGAACTGTACATCTCAAAGCTTTTAGGGTTGAAGGTTTTACACCGAGTTAGTATGTGTTGATGTGTTATCCTCGAAACTGTTGTTTATTCTACAGATTCTGGGCCTCGTTCTTGCGCCCAACGGCGGTACGGCTCTTCACCAGCGCAAAATCGTAAGCATTCCGCGGCTTCCCCCTGCCCGGAGGGGGGCACCTGGGAACTGGGACACTGGGACGAGCTTGGGAAGCACTGAGGCTGAGACGCTTCAGGGGGCTGCCGAAAGTGAAGGCGACAGCATACATCAATTCAGACATGTGGTCTAGCTAGGTGGCTAGGTGGGTGGGTGGCCACAATCAATTGCAATCAAGTGGCTTGATGCCGAAGTCAGCCAAATTTTCGAGGAAACGTTCCGGTTCATATTTTTCCATGTTTGTCATTGTCTCCTTCATTCCAGGGCCTGCCTGTGTCAGCATCGCTGTTCTGGATGACGAATGCGACTCACACAGGACGATCGGCCTCAAGTGATGAACAATGCGAACCATATGGCCTGACTGCCATAGAACGAGATAATTACTCACATCAAACCTGGGGTTCCACGCACACCCGGACGTCGAATGACCACCACCGGGCAATCTGGCATGGAGCATGTCGTCTCGAATGGCCGCAGAATCTTTCGCGCAGCAGGATCGCCTGCTGCTGCCTCACTGTTTTCAACATCTCCGGCAAAATTGATGAAAATCATTGCAGAAACCAGCTCTGATTCTCAAACGCTAAAGAAGCCTTAAAACTAAGAGGCTGTTCGGCTATTCAATTCACAACTCATAGCAAGCATAACAGCGCACACGGCACAAGGCCTCGTGCGCTCTGCTTTCGTCAGCTGCTGATCCGGCTGAGCGCGGGGGCGTGGTGGGTTTGACTTCTGCAGCAGCATCAGATTTTGCCTCGAATTGGTCATCCGCCAGGAGATCGAGTTCGCCGTCGTCATCATCCATTATCTTACAGAGCAATGAACAAGTAGATCAATGCTACACTACAGTACAGGAGCTCAGTGGCTCGGCACCGGCACAGGGCCGGAAACTGACCAAAAGCCAAGATGACTCTGTGGCAATCGGAAGTCTGTCCTTCTATCAAGCTGTGTCTGCAGGCGACCCATGCAAGCCTGCTCAAGAATCATTTGTCCCTGCAGAAGGCACGCTTTCTCAAATGCACACAAGCGCAAGCATGCTAGCCATGAACTCTGACTTTTCCAGTGATCTTGCTGAATCCTGCTGATTGCGGATTTGCTATCAGGCTGACGTTGCAGACCATACCGTTATTACCATCATCGCCGAACGAGGCTGCAGAGGCAGACCTGCCATATCGCACCGATGCAAGCAGGATGCATGGCCTCGGTGGCCAAGCCAAGCTGAAGGAGTGTAGCACGTGTCGAGCGTCGGGATAAAAATGGAAACAGGCTGAGACTGAGAGTAACTGGACGGCAACAACAGTAACAACAGCATGGACTAAAGGCGTTCGCTACGATTCGTTTGCAGGAATCTCACTCCGGCAACTCAACAGCATCAGCATCTGCAGCCCATTAGCGTTACCTGCTAGTTTCTTCATGGTGGCCTGCGTAAGGGTGTCCAAGGCACGAAATGGTGGATACGGCTGGTGGGCACCGGCGAGGTCCGAGTATGCGGGTACCCCCATGGCAATCAAATGCTCCTGCGACACCACCGCCGAAACCCCAATCTGCACTGACGACCTTTCCGGCTAAAACCGATGCACGAAACAACCATCGTCCTCTCCCAGCATCCACCGGTTTTCAACCCCATCCGCAGCTGTGAGCGGCGGCGGTGCAGCCGACGAAGCTGATGGCTCTCGGTCGCAGCCACGGTTTGGGGGCCAGATCAGGAACATGAAACTTGTTTTCAGCAGTGTTCGTAGACTTCTGGAAACTACTGGGCGTTTGTCCGGATTTTGAGCAATGTTTGCTATCACGCTGTGGCCCTTCGCATGCCACTTCTGGACCTTCTCCAACTCCTTGAATCGCCGCAAATATGTGCGTTTTGCTCCTGCCACCAAGACCAGGGAACCGCAACGGTCCCGGGGACAACACATGGCCATGGACTCTTACATGCAAGCAGATCCAAGAGTGAAGCTAAATTACAACAGATGCAGGCAGGCTACAGCAGCTAAACAAATCACAAGGCTGTCAGGCTGGCACTGGCACTCTCAAGACTCCAGACTAACTATGCAGCGACGTTTCTGCCTAATCTTACCGCAATCCCGAATCCCAAATAGTCCTGTAAGTAGCATCTCAAAGCTGGCATGGGGATCTTTGTATGTCTTTGCGGCGGCAGCGCGGCGCTCTGCTTCCACCTGCTCCTGCGGCGGACACGACACGTCACGAACCACAGGCTATGCACTACCGTGAGCCATATAAGACTGATCGAAATACGCATTGCGCAATCACTTTTTTGCTGCGGCGACGAATCAACGAAGATCCTTCTGATCCTTCAGTGTCCTTCAGGTAAGCCCGGCCCCGCCTGGAGCACTTCCTGGGACTCAACAGTCAAAACTGGAGTCGGAGAGCAGAGAGCATGCTTCAATGACTTCAATGCTTCCGAACGCTGGACGCCTCGGGCTCATCCTTCTGGGCCTGGGCCTTGCTCTCAACCAAGTTGTTGAATATCGTTTTCAACATCGAATCCTGCTGCTGAACCAGACGACGTGCATCCACCATGATGGCGTAGATCGGAGGCGGCCTTTCGGTCTTGTAATTCCAGAAGTGCGACTCCAGCTCCTCAAGAAAACGAACGGCCGCGCGATGCTTCTTGAGCTGCGCCAAACACCCCTCTGGGCTGCGCAACTCGGTGGGAAACATGTGCAGCTCAGGCCAGTTCACGACCTCACGCCATTCCACACGCGTCAGCTTCTCGAAGTCGGCGCTCTCACCGTCCATCGACAGACACATGCGCATGACCGAGTGGATGGTGGCAGCAGCAGCCCCGAGAACGTTCTTCTCAGGGGTCGCACCAGCAATCTTCACAGCTGTCAGCAGGGATTGCCACACCTCCTCCAACTGGCCTGCACTGCGGCTCATCTCGGTCACACAGTGGAACTTCTCGAAGAAGGCGATCATCACCGGCATGAGATCGGAATCCGTAAGCACGCCTGTCACGAGGCACGCCATCTCAGCAGAGTCTCGAGTCTCGAGTCTCACCAGAAGGAAAAAATTGAGCCGTCACAGCTGCCAGCTGCCGTAATTAGCTCGACAATCACTCGGACTTCTAGGTCATCAAGCTACCACTGCCACAGCCACTCTTGACTCTTGCCTGCCACCACGGCAAACAAAAAGAAATGAACATGCTGCCTTGTCACCACTTGCTCACGGTCGAGGTCCACACTACGAACTCAGAGACAGACATAAACTTTAAACTCAAACTAAGGACGAAAGGGTAAAGGGGGGCGCAGGGCCTGCAGGGCGGTGGGTTTTGTCTTCTCGTTACTCGTTACCGTTGTGCACAAGTGTTTCCGCTCCCGTCCGTCCTTGTCTGCTGCGAAGAACTGTGCGGCCTCGAAGTTCGGGGTGGCCCACAGGTCTATCACTTTGTTCAACGGGTTCTGCAAGTCCCAGTCGCCACCGACTGCTGTGCAAAGGTTGATTTTCAACATCACGTTTGCATCTTTTCGTATTCCCAGCGTGTAGAGCCTGGGTCTCGTCTGCGGCCAGCCAAAATGCATGGGCGATAGCATCACTGTGCGAAGCTCTGGATGGCCGGCATTTGCACTGACGGCTGTGTTGGGCATCTGCACGGAGTACCAATCGTACATCGGAAGATGTTTCGGGAAAATCCAATCCAAGAACTTGCTGCTGTTCTCATGCAATACTACGTCCTTAGGCTGACCGACTGCCAGCAGAAGTTTATCTCAACAGTCCCAGCGTCGACAAGCATCGCAAATTGTGTCACGAAACACGGAATCATCGAAACTTACACGAGTTAGACTTACATACACCCCTGGACACTGGAAGCCCGGACAGGACAGCCTAGAACCGTGCAAACTGGAATAAAAAAACCTAGAACCAAGCCGAAGCCAAACCATATATAAGTTATGGTAGGTCGAGTCCCTGCCCCCGCCAAGCAAACTCAAGCAAAGCCCAGCAAAGCAGCTTCCGCGGACTTCTTCCTTTCGCTCAGGAAGATTGCAAGAGCTCGGGACGACGACCCCAAAAGCCCGGCGCGGGCACCTTGTGCATGACATGACGACGACATGACTGAGAAAAAGAAACATCTTGGACTCTTGGACTGACTTATTTCGAGGAGCAGTGCCTGGAGGGTAGCAAGGTAGCGGCAAACGAGAGCTTTTGAGACATTGACACAAAGCTAGCAGCTAGCGCTCAAACTGGTTTAGATGGACGACGTCACAGCAGCCGCGGCACCGAAGGGTGAGTGGTCCACACAAACAGAACCACCAACAGCAACTTTCACCACCAGCGGCTTCGCATCAATAGTGTCACGGCCTTGCGCGTCTGCCTCCACCGCGCGTTCTTCTTGCATCAGGCTGCTGCCCACAGGTGTTACACAATCACAACGGCGTGTCAGTCCCTTTTTTGATCTGCTCTTCTTTTTGGCCTGGGCCTCGGTCGTGACAGCAGCATCATTGTCCTGCAAAGGCATGTGAATGGTTTCAGTCGAGGATTCTGGCTTTAGGGTTTACCACGGTCACGAAAGCCTGTCATGTACATCATGTACGGCTTCAACTGATTGACGTGAAGTTTGATATTGACACAAGCAGACAGACACACAACACAACTCTCAGACTTTCAGCAGACTAAGACGACCCAGACCCAGAGACGGCGCATGACATGACATGTCACAGGATTTTGATCCTCACCCTGGGCAATGTCATAGGATTATACGGGGATGCAAGGCGCTAGTCACGGTTTGGCCCGGCCTGATGGCCTGATGTGCTGTGTGACACGGGCAACTCTGGAACTGGACGATTCTGAGTCTGAACTGAACATGACTGAACATGTCTGGAGTCTGGACCGTCTGGACCTGGTGACGGCAGCACGGAGCCACAGTCTTCCAAAAACTGTTGTTGTCCAAGATGTTCATATAGCGTTCCAGGAGCCGCTCACCATATGTGGCCTCGATGCGCTTGCGCTCCTCTGGACTGTCTTGCCCCTCCTCACCTGAGCAGCAATTCTAATTCAGCAATATGATAATCTTGCGCAGCACAGTGCCGCTGCCGCATGCCGCAGCCACACAAGAACGCTAAATGCCACCAACACTTTTCACTTGTGACTAGGCAAAGGCAAGGTACTCAACACCGTCGCAAGCTCAAAATGCGTCGACTTGGCAGCTTCATCCAGAAGTTTCAAACACCTTTCTGTCAGCCTCTCATTCAAATCGCCATGAATGTGCACGGGGCGGAAAACCTGCAGTGCTGACGCTGTGGCAGTGGATGCGGGCATGGGCATGGGCCCGTGGGGGAACGGTTGAACGGGCGTTGGGGTCCTTGGGGTATCAGTTATCAAGGCCAATTCCAGGCAAGCGGTCAAGCGGTTCAGGATTTGGGATTTGGGGTTGCAGCAATGAACCTTCGTAGACTCACCTTGACTTCAACACTGAAGCTCGGCCCGCCTTGGACTTTTAAAGCAACGTTGGCGATGGTTCTGGTTTAGACTAACATGGTTCATCAAAGTTGTAGGTCGTAGGCTTAGACTCAGACATAAACAGCAATCGTCCAACTGAACTGAACCCACAAAATGAAGACAGGACATGGCATATCCATTTCGGTCTCGGGCCCCAGCCTCCGGAAGCGAAGCGAGCACGGCCTGCGCATGCTTGTCGCAGTCGCAGGCGGTGGCTGTGACTGCTTCGGGCAATACCAAATGCTCTGAACCTTGGTATGTTTGGACACTTTCGCAGCTTTCGTTCGCAAGTTGATTGTGGACGTGTTGCTGCACGTCGCAAAAGCTTCAACACCAAATACGATTACGATCCAAGAGACTTCGGCCCTGCTTGCTCAACTCTTGGTTGGCACTTTGCACCAAAGCAATCAGAGACTGCTTAAACGTGACTGAGCCGGTTCCCAGACCGGCAAAAGAGTCGTGAACCTCGAATCGAACACCGTCTCGGATGAGCTTGCAAAAGCTCTGCAGGCATTCTGGATCGGAAACCATCTTGTTGGCATATCTCCTGGGCCATTCGAATGCTTCTTGCAGGCTTGACGGGCCCAACGGTGGCACAAAGCCCAGGGCATCTTCTGTCTGCATTTTAAATCTTCGGAACACAAGGGCATCATCATCAGATCCAGAATCAGCGTCAGCGTCACCGTGACCAGCCTCGGCAGCCTCGGCCTCGGCCTCAGCCTCGCCAGCATCATGGGCCTGGCCAGCATGGTCGCCCACTGCCAGGTCTGCTTCGATCGCGATCGCACCATCAACTTCACCAATGCCACCGCCATCATCTTCACCGCCTTGTTCTTCGCAAACTGGATCACCATTGATATCTGCCTGCGACGGCGACGAAACACATTCCGCCTGAACTTCTGTCTCTGGAGAGCTACTTGAAGTTGAAGAACTGCTGCTGCTGCCGTTGCTGCCGCCACTGCTGCTGTTCACCATATCACCATGGATCGGGGGCCAGCGGCCCGGGGACTGAGGGAGTCGCTAATAGGCTGCTGCCTGGACTCGACCTATTGATGCTGAATCCAAGTTAATACGTTACTCACTGAATCAATTAGGCAGTCATGTGCCGAACGCGAGTGATCCCTAAGCGTTGGCCTGAAGATCATCATCATCGACCCCAGGCTATAACTTCTACATTGGCGGGGGCGGGCGGCATTGGCACTTGGCACGTCGATTAATCGATTTGGCACCGATGTGGCACTTGTCAATTGTCAATTCAACAGCCAACCACAACAACCAGAACAACAACAACGCTAACACTGACACAGATTGGATTGGATTGACAAAGTATCCCACTTCTGCCAGACTTGCCGCGGTAGCGCTTGCGATTTTTCCTCGCTCGCGATTTTTGCTCAAAGGTGATACACCCCCCCCCCCCCCTACCCCCGCAGTCGCGCTCACGATTTTTTTCCAAGGTGGTATCTCTCCCCCGGCGGTAGCGCTCGCGAATTTTTTCCAAAGCAATCCCAGTGGTCCAAAGCGGTTTAGGGTTTAGGGTATTAGGGTTTAGGGTTTAGGGTTTAGGTGGTAGGCTCCCCCGCGGTAGCGCTCGCGATTTTTTTCCAAGGTGGTTATCGGTTAGCGCTCGCGAATTTTCTTCCAAACGTGCAGGGCCCCCCGCGGTAGCGCTCGCGAAATTTTTTCAAGGTGGTAAAGGGCAAGCCCCCCCGCCCCCGCCCCCGCGGTAGCGCTCGCGAATTTTTTCCAAGGTGGTTGTAGACGCTAGCCCCCCCTCCCCTCTGCGGCAGCGCTCGCGAATTTTTTCAAGGTGGTCCTGCCCTACCCCCCCTGCCCCGCGGTAGCGCTCGCGAATTTTTTTCCAGGTGGTAGTAGACGGTAGCCCTGTAGCCCCCCCTCCCCTGTCGCGAATTTGTTCAAGGCCCCCGCGGTAGCGCTCGCGAATTTTTTTCCAAGGTGGTCGTAGACGGTAGCCCCCCCTCCCCTCTGAGGCAGCGCTCGCGAATTTTTTTCTGGGTGGTAGGGCACCACACCCCCACACCTCCACACCTCACACTCCCAACCCCACACCACACCACCCCCACCCCACACACACCCACACACACCACCCCCACCCCACCCCCACCCCCACCCCCACCCCCACCCCCACCCCCACCCCCCCCCCCACCCCCACCCAACCCACCCACACCCATACCCACACCCACACCCACACCCACACCCACACCCACACACACACCCACACCCCAGCCGGTGGACCTGAAGGATCTTTGGAAATCCTTCAGGGCCCAGCCGGTGGACCTGAAGGATCTTTGGAAATCCTTCAGGGCCCAGCCGGTGGACCGAGCCCCCCCTCCCCTCTCGCGAATTTGTTCAAGGCCCCCGCGGTAGCGCTCGCGAATTTTTTGTAGACGGTGACGGTAGCCCCCACCCCCCTCTGCAGCGCTCGCGAATTTTTTTCAAGGTGGTAGGGCAGGGCCCCCCCGCCCCCGCGGTAGCGCTTGCGAATTTTTTTCCAACGTGGTAGTAGACCTGTTGCGAATTTTTTCAAGGCCCCCGCGGTAGCGCTCGCGAATTTTTTCCAAGGTGGTAGTAGACGCTAGCCCCACCTCTCCTCTGCGGCAGCGCTCGCGAATTTTTTCAAGGTGGTAGGGCAGAACCCCCCCTGCCCCGCGGTAGCGCTCGCGAATTTTTTTCCAGGGTGGTAGTAGACGGTAGCCCTGTAGCACCCCCTCCCCTGTCGCGAATTTGTTCAAAGCCCCCGCGGTAGCGCTCGCGAATTTTTTCCAAGGTGGTCGTAGACGGTAGTCCCCACTCCCCTCTGCGGCAGCGCTCGCGAAATTTTTTCAAGATGGCCCCCCGCCCCCGCGGTAGCGCTCGCGATTTTTTTTCCAAGGTGGTTGTAGTATAGCCCCGTGCCCCAAGCCCTAAGCCCTAAGCCCTAAACCCCTAAGGCCTAAACCCTAAACCCTAAGCCCCAAGCCCTAAGCCCTAAGCCCCAAGCCCCAAGCCCCAAGCCCTAAGCCCTAAGCCCCAAGCCCCAAGCCCCAAGCCCTAAGCCCTAAGCCTTAAGCCCGAAGCCCTAAGCCCTAAGCCCGAAGCCCGAAGCCCTAAACCCTAAACCCTAAGCCCTAAGCCCTAAGCCCCAAGCCCCAAGCCCCAAGCCCTAAGCCCTAAGCCTTAAGCCCGAAGCCCGAAGCCCTAAGCCCTAAGCCCGAAGCCCGAAGCCTTAAACCCTAAACCCTAAGCCGTAAGCCCCAAGCCCCAAGCCCCAAGCCCTAAGCCCTAAGGCTTAAGCCCGAAGCCCTAAGCCCGAAGCCCGAAGCCCTAAACCCTAAGCCCTAAGCCCCAAGCCCCAAGCCCTAAGCCCTATGCTCTAAGCCCTAAACCCAAAGCCAAGGTTCCCAAAAATTCTTTAAGTTTCTGAAAAAATCCTTAAGGTCCCGGAAAATTCCTTAAGGTCCCGAAAAATTTTTTAAGGTCCCGAAAAATTCCTTAAGGTCCCGAATAATTCCTTAAGGTCCCGAAAAAATTCCTTAAGGGCCCGACAAATTTCTTAAGGGCCCGAAAAATTTCTCAAGGGCCCGAAAAATTTCTTAAGGTCCCGAAAAATTTCTTAAGGTCCCGAAAAAATCCTTAAGGTCCCGAAAAAATTCCTTAAGGGCCCGAAAAAAGCTTAAGGTCCCGAAAAAATTCCTTAAGGGCCCGAAAAAAGCTTAAGGTCCCGAAATAATTCCTTAAGGGCCCGACAAAAGCTTAAGGTTCCAAACCAAATGGAACCTTAAGGATTGAGGCCAAAAAAGCAGAGCCTAAATCAGGTTTTTTTTAGGGTTTTCATTGAAAAAAACCTGATTTAGGCTCTGCTTTTTTTCCAAGTTCGAAAAAAAGCAGAGCCTAAATCAGGTTTTTTTCAATGAAAACCCTAAAAAAAACCTGATTTAGGCTCTGCTTTTTTGGCCTCAATCCTTAAGGTTCCATTTGGTTTGGAACCTTAAGCTTTTTTCGGGCCCTTAAGGAATTATTTCGGGACCTTAAGCTTTTTTCGGGCCCTTAAGGAATTTTTTCGGGACCTTAAGCTTTTTTCGGGCCCTTAAGGAATTTTTTCGGGACCTTAAGGATTTTTTCGGGACCTTAAGAAATTTTTCGGGACCTTAAGAAATTTTTCGGGACCTTAAGGAATTTTTCGGGCCCTTAAGGAATTTTTCGGGCCCTTAAGGAATTTTTTCGGGACCTTAAGGATTTTTTCGGGACCTTAAGGAATTTTTGGAACCTTGGCTTTGGGTTTAAGGCTTAGGGCTTAGGGTGTAGAACTTAGGGCTCAGGGCTCAGGGCTTAGGGCTTGGGGCTTAGGGCTTAGGGCTCAGGGCTTAGGGCTTAGGCTTAGGGCTTGGGGTTTAAGGCTTAGGGCTTAGGGTTTAGGGCTTAGGGCTTAGGGCTTGGGGCTTGGGGCTTGGGGCTTGGGGCTTACGGCTTAGGGTTTAGGGTTTAGGGGTTAGGGGTTAGGGCTTAGGGCTTAGGGCTTCGGGCTTCGGGCTTAAGGCTTAGGGCTTAGGGCTTAGGGTTTAGCATTTCTCGGTAAGAGCAACCGTTACTACGTTATTTCCACAAAACTCACAGCTAATGTTTTCTGCGTGGGCCTTACCCGACCCTGTCTGCAGTCCTGCAGATTGCGGCATGAGCATATACCGATAAATGTAAGGAATCAGGATCATATGCTATAGGCTCAAATCCTCCAATAAGAAAGGGAAACGTTCAACCCAAACTTTGCAGAAGTCTGGCAGAAGTGCGGCATAAACCCAATGAGAAGGCAACAACCGACAGTCAACAGTCAACAGGACAGTTTCGGATCAACAAAATAAAATAACCCAACCAAGGCCCCTTACCCGAATATTGGGCAAGCAATGCTGATGTCATCGCCGGCAAAAAGATTCATGTTCAGCCATACTTGAGTGATATAATACAATATGATATGGCCCGTCACAACCATGTGCTGATATAAAGCAGGCCCTCTCCCTCCCTCCACCTGTCACGCTGTCGCACAGAAGCAGGACTAAGCAGGAACCCTGCGACTCCCCATCACATGGCCGTGAATCCTTCAACCACAAGCCCTAAATCCCGAACCCGCTGCAAGCTGCTCCTGTAAAGACTTGAAGAACTGCAACCTCGAACACATCAAGCATGAATGTCGATAGATAATAAGCAGAATCGTAGAAGGCGACATCTCCAAACGGAGTCCCGGAACTCCGCAATGTGTCCCTGCTCTCTGACTGATGCAATGCTTGCAGTGCGGCTGTGGCCCGGGAAGAATCTTTTGCACGGCCCGGCCACTACTTCGGCGATCGTTGCTTCAGGGGCCCTGGAACTACTCTACTCTCCATGCAACTGCGTCAAGTGCCGCCACTGTTGATCCAGCTCTTCCTCTGTTCCCAATGATGTTGGCTCCGGCAGCGGAAGCATGACATGTCGTCTTCTCAATTCTTCGTCAGACTCTCCTAAAGGGCACGAAACGCAATGCAATCACAATTAGAGCGAGAAGCTGCTAAGCACTCGTTCGATCATACAGCTCAAGCGCCGTCAAGCGCCCGTCCTGTTCGCCGTACCATGTGGTAGCCCTGGATCAACCAATGCTTCAATCGTCGGACAGCTTCGGGTTTATTGATGGAAATCTGCTTTGTGCAATCCCGCTTTCCCTTGTGCAATTTGCACACCGCGAAGTAGGAACCCACCTCGGCAGTAGATTCCAGTCGGGTTGAGTTTTGCTGGTTGTAGTTGTAGGGTTGAATTGAAGGGTAGTTGCAAGGCAGGGATAGATAGGTTCTCCAAACCCCAAACCCTACAAGCCCGAAACGAAACCCGACAGACAAAGCCGCCGTGGTGTCGTTGGGCTTGACCAGGGGCGTATCCCCAAACCATATTGTGTCTTCTTGAAACATTGACGCTGATCCACGTCCACGTCCACCAGAAGCCCTGCCAGGCTCCTTTTTCTTTCTGTTCCCCAGCTCTCCCAGATCTGTCGCCACGGCAATCGGCGGAACCGGTGGCGGTGGCACTGCATCCAACTTCTGCGTGTCCGGGTCAACTGCACCACCGAGATGCAGGAAGCTGTCACTGTCGGAGTCGGGGTCACCAGGCAAAATTCGTTCGTTGCTCCCTGCTCCCTTTGCATCTGGCCCGGGCCCGGGCCTATCTGCAGTTGTCCGCAACGGGCCGGCACTGGGACTGGCAGGGATTGGCGTCGGCATTGTTGATGCCGGCGGCGCAGCTGCTGAAGAAGGCGAAGCAGGCTGAAGCGAATCTGGCTCAGCTGGCTCCGGACCCGGAAGCGAGGGAGAGTAGTCCGACATGTGATCAGCCACATCGAAACCGTTAGCATCCAAATCCAAAGATCTTGCGTTTGTTTGGGGTTGAGGGGTGCCTGCCGCACCGGTCACTTCAAACACACTTCCATCATGGTCGCTCTCGCCTTCGCTGAAAGGAAAGCTGGGCAGATCTTCGTCATGTCCAGAAGACCGGGTATTGCGTCCTCCCAGGAGCATCAACACGAATCAGTAGGATCATAGCGATAGTTCGTTACTGAACAGTCACATAATGTGCGCGAAGAAATACATGAATAGCACGACCTGTCGCCACAATATAAAGCCAGTTACTGAAATCTACACGGGACCTGGACCTGGTCGGCTCCACAATATTGTTAATGAGGCACGATAAGCCGCCACCAAACCGAAGCACACACACACACACACACACACACACCGACTACCGACATCCCGAACAGACCCAAACCCTAAACTGGAAACATGTAATCCTCTGCCACTCCCTTCTCTGTTGCAGCTGCAAAACTTGCAGCAGAAGGCTGGCACTTAGGGACTTCAGAATTGGGAGTTCGCAAGTGCGCCGGCCGCCCGGCCCTCAAAAAAAGATTCGACTCGTAGGAACTCCAGACACGCAAGAACGCTGCAGACTAAACTGAATCAGTTTGGGGCGTGGGATGGGATTTGGGCTGTTGGGCCTTCGATCAACCCTAAACTGAAAACATTGATTGGCCCCCGGGCCCCGCAATCCCCAGCCGCAGCCCCCCCACACTCACACCCTCAACATAACCTAACCTAACCAACCACTTGGGGGCTTATAGGACTTATAGGACTGATAGTCTACGAGTTTAAGGTCTGTGGTTTTCAGTAATCGAAACTGTCAGTAACGAAACCGGACCGGATCACACTCAGGGGCAGAGGCCTCGGCCTCGGCCGCGGCCGCCACGGCGACGACCACGACCACGTCCGCGGACTCCGCCGGCACGATCCCCGTCCATGAGCTCGTCGTCCCCGGCCGCCGCAGCAGCAGGAGCAGCAGGTTTCGAAACCACAACATTGCCTGGTCATAAGCACTGTGCACTGTGGACTGCACGGCAGCACGGCACTGGCACTTCTATGACTTCTATGCCTATGCAGGCAGCCTTGATTGACAGCTTCTGACGTGTCGCTGGCTCGAGATCGCACGAATTCCACATCCAAGGTTTATACTGATAACCCGGGACCTTTTCCATGTTTCTACATATCCCGATCTTTTAGTTTGTGGTTATTGCTTTGAGGTAGCCCCACAGTCCCACACCCTCATCATCGGAGGCAACACCGGGAACACCATCCGAAGCGTGATCTGCTCGAACTCGTTGGCGTCGGCTTGAGCGCTGCTGCACGAGCAGCTTGTAGAAAGATGCCGGCTGATTCGGCAATAATTCGGCCAACGCAATGCCACTGGTGCCGTCATCTGCCAAAGTCAACAGCTCCAAGCAGCCCACATAGTAAGCTTTCAGTTGGAAGAAATGTATCCCAACCTCAGCGAGCCCCAATGCGAACAGTCTCTCAGCTTTCGATAAAGTGAGCAGGTACTCCTTGTAAAGGCCTCCATTGCTTTGCAGGTGGTGATAATAGATCTTGGGGCTGCCGCTTCGATACGGCTCGGTCTTCTTGGGCGCCGAGTTCGGCAGTGGCACACGTTCCCAGCCCTGTTGCTGCAGCCAGATGACCAACTCGAAACGTGTCCAATGAGAGTCTGGCTCTGCGCCGGGCGGAAATCTGGTATGTTTGCTCAGAGACACGGGTTTGCAAAGATGCCTTGGGCACGACAAAAACCTCGCTCCTGCTGGCGTGATGTAGTAATAATCACTGTAGTAGCCCGTTGGGTTTTCCGATGCCTGAATCAAACGATGCCGAAGCAAAAGCCTCAGCCCCGGAGTACTTTCATGGCAGTAACATGGTTTCGTGCGGTGATTGGCAATGCGCAAGAGAAGTTCTTTGGCGTACTCGCCGTCTTCATCACAGAACTCAGGCTCCTGGCCCCTGCGAAGACTTCGATGGGGGGTTCAGCAAGGCCCAGACAAGAGTCTAGCAGTCCAGCACCCCATAAAAATCGCGGACTTTACTTTACAGTCTTCAGCCGTTGAAAAATGTAGGGCATGCGGCTTACGGCGTTTACGGAAACTATTCCTACCCCTACCCACTACCCACACCCACTCAGCAACTCAGCAACCTCCAACTTCTAATCTCTGAAGCCTCAAGCTGACACTAAAAGCTCTTTGGTTTCCGCAGTGGTTGCACAGCACAGCACGGCGGTAGAGCACGCATAATGCATAAGGATATACACCCTGATAGCATTGTCTGCAAACTGCAAAGTATCATAAGCGCAAAACGCTGCCCGCCTAGCCTGGCCTCGGCATCGGAGCACCACCAGCCAGCACCAACTGCTTGCTCACTGCAAATTGGACGGTCTGATCGGACCTGGTTGAATCAGACAGATCATGCCAGACTGTCCAGTTGTTGGCGATCTTGTCGAAAGAGGAGCCGAAAGCGATAGCTTTGGGAGTTCCCACTGGCGTCACATAAGCTTCGAGTGGCTGGCCTGGTGGACTCGGATCCACATTGCCCTGATAGATCTGCGCCAGGCAATCGAACCGCGGAAAGGAAGCATCACCAAGCATGCAGCTGGCCCGCACAGTGGCAGCCATCGTGGTGATGTCGATGAACACATGATCTTCCAGGAAAGATCCAGGCAGCTCAAGCGCCGCAGCAGGCAGCAAGTGCAAGCCCACGCCCTCGGACTTCATAACATCCATCCCGGAAAAAGAAGCTGCCACAGCAGCTTGCAGAACTTGCTCCGGCACAGGGTTCACGAGGGCCATGGTTGACCCCGACCCTGCAGCATCACCCCTGCTCAGGACCGTCACTGCTCCTTCATCTTCAATTGTTTCATCGACTTGCTGTTGCAGAGCATGCCCTGTTTCCGGTTCCAGGTTGCGGGCAACTGGCTGAAACACACCTCCAGCTCCAGCCGTCCCTGAATCACCTCGCACGAAGCCAGCTTCCGGAGCCGAGCTGGAAAACAACAACTTGTTGGTCCGCGACACCTGGGGAGTCGGAAGTCTCAAGGTCATCTTACCTAGGACCTAGGGTTCGAGGGTCGGGCGTGTCGGCGTGTCGGGCCTCCAGCATGTGCTCGATGATTATCTGAGCCATGGGTTGCACAGGCTCGGACTCGGCGGCCTGTGGGAGAAGCTGCCGGCGCACTCCATCATGTTCCTGCAGCACCTCCTCTAGCTTCCTCTTCTTTTGATGTTTGACACGAATGTTGTCCCGGTACACTATGTCTGAGAGCTGTCGCATCGTCAGACCTCTCGTGTACGGCGTCGGCTGCAATCCCAACAGGTTCCTCACATGTCTTGGCAGATATACACGGGTGACCACGCAAGTAGCAAAGTTGCTTGCATTTGTTGGGAAACAACACAATCATACACTGGTCATTCGCAGCAGCAGGCAGCAGGAGTCGTACTCGTAGCGTCGTAGCATTAGTAGCATTAGTAGTAGTAGTAGTAGTAGTAGTAGTAGTAGTAGTAGTAGTAGTAGTAGTAGTAGTAGTAGTAGTAGTAGTAGTAGTAGTAGTAGTAGCAGTAGTAGTAGTAGTAGTAGTAGTAGTAGTAGTAGTTGTTGTCGTCGTAGTAGCGGTAGTAAAACCGCTTCTGGTCAAGGTCAAACTAATATAATACTAGAAATAATCATACTAAGAGTCTAAGAGTAGTGAGACGCAATTCGCAGAGTGTCGGAACTAAGGGACCAGCAGCAGGAACAGGAGCAGGAGGCGGGGAGGACTAGCATCCTGAGTCTGAGTCCTCTGCAAATGCAGACATGTTGCAGAACAATCTTTTCGAAGCCATCCCGTGTCTCAACACCACGAATGTCCAGCATGAACTGCTTCAGCTCCTCGGCATTTGTGTTTTCAAGACGGATTCGAAGGGTTTCGGCAGGAGTCCTTCACTTATTGCTTGCTAGTTGCTAGGCAACAATGATGACAATGACAACAGTAATGATAATGATGGTAAAGCTGAAGCAGCCAAAGGGCACAAGGATCGCGAAAGTGGCTTTCCATCAGTAGGTGCCAGCGCAGCTCCAAACTCATGTAAGCAATTTTGCTTGCAGGAGCCCTTTTGTAGATTTGGTTCGTAAAGGCGTGCAGCCCTTCGACTGTCCTTTCAACCACTCTCACCTGGCCGAGGAATTTGGGTTGACGACATTACCCAAGACTCACGACGACTCACCCACGACTCCAAGAGTTATAACAATGCAATACCAGTATTCAGGTTGCATTATTTTGGTTTTGTGGCGGCAGCGGGCGGGCCACACCGGAAACTTTGCGGGGCTGGCAGGGTTGTGGGAATATTGCGAATCTGCAAACGACATGCGACATGGCTGCTGAACGTTAGAACGAACTTTAACTCAACTCAAAAGGTACTAGTCTAGTCATGTTGATTCTCTGTTGTCAATCGAAGGCCAAACCGCCAAACCATCCTGCCACAATGCCAAGACACATGTCTGAAGGCAGACAGCCATTTGGCTAAAGGCTGCCTTTCGTCTGTCGAGAAGTCTGCGTAGTGTTCACCGGAAGCAAGGCGTTCGATCAGCGGCCGAAGAGCCGGGTCATCATCTCCACCGTTGTAATCTTTCTGGCAAAAACGACGAGTCATCCTGTGCAAGCACCCCGGGCCGGGGGTCTCAGTGTTCGCAGCGTTGTCGTAAAGCATCAACACCCGCTGGGCTGTCTTCTGCACCACGTGGACATTCTCATGGGCCAGGGCACCTTTCTCAGTCAATTGGTTCTGACCGGGTTGCACGTTTCAACGGGCCGTAATAACAAACACTGCATAATAATTGCTCCGGGTTCACCGACAAACCACAGAAGGAACAAAAATCGGTACCCTCATGAGCCCGATGAGCCCGAGTCCGTCCGAGGAACATAGCTTCCATGGCAGTTCGTCCCAATAGCGAAGTTTCACTAGCATGGACGTCCAGAGGGCGGCCCGTGCCCTTTGCCAGTCCCTCAAAAGGCCAGCTTGGTCGGTTGCACCAGTCAAATGGCTCAACAAACTTGTGGCATGAGATGCCATCACGCGCAGCTGACCTCGAAGAGCGTCCCCCGACGCTAACTCAACCGCCCGGCAGCCCCGGCGCCAACAGTGCCGTGTTTCTGGTGTTTCGCGAACTTGTCGCTGCTTCTGTGGCAGATTCTGCGGCGCCTGAGCCGGTTTGCCGAGGCACACTTTGGCATTCAGATGTTCATGGCACTCACAACCTCAGAGAAAAGGAGCAAGCAGTTGGCGGCATCCAGCACAACTCTGGCTAGACACTGATATCAGCATTATGAGTGCAACGGAGCTGTTCGCATCATTGCAGATCACACACACATTCAAACTGCCGAATGCCCTGACCTGCCCAGCTGCCTTCGCCCCAACGACCCAGGTATTCAGCCTCGAAGGAAACGCAGTTGACAGCAGACATCCATGCCCATGTGTTGCGGTCTGTGATCGCATCATCGATCTCATCCAAAGTTGGGCCACTATCGAAGTCCTGAGAAGTGTCCAGGTGGAAGCATGTGGACATTGAGTCAAGCAGAAGCGTGCGCATGTGCAGCTGGACAGCTGGACTCTGGCCAATCTAAGTCTAAGTCTCTAAGTATATTCGTGAAATCCGATTCACACGACTTACGGCTGGCGAGTGAAGCATTCCAACCCTCTCCAACTTCCAAGGCCCACGCTGCGTTGAGCCCCCAAGGCTTGAAAGTCTTGCCACTCTCGTGCCCTCGACTGCCCATCCGGAAATTGTTCTTTGACCAATGACGCCGCAACGGCACCTCAAGGTCTGAAACCTCAGCGACACGGCAACCATAACCACAGTCACGCACGCTGTCACTGACACTGACCGACGGTGACCGACACATGACACACAGGCACACAGACACAGTCACACAGTGTCACACAGGGCCGCAGGAAATCGGGAACCCAACCCACTTCGAGCCTCAATCGGCCTCAAACTCACAGCTGAGGCGTCACCAGGGCCAGGGGCAGGGCACTGCACGAAAAACTAGTTGCCATTCATACGCTTATGTCGCAAAATTATGTGGAGCTGAGCCGAGCCAATCAATCCTAATTGTGTTTCAAGATTCAATCAGGCCATAATAATGCATGACATCAACAATTAGACATGTAAAAGGGCAAACCGGCCGCCGAGCCACAGCAGCTGTGAAATCGACGATTGTTTGCCATCTGGTCCCGTCCAAGAGCTTGGACTCAAAGGACTTGAAAAGTTTCGCGTCTTCTGCATGGCTGTCTTCGAATCCAATGCAGCATGCGACAAACCGCTCCCGATACTGGATGGAACCAAGGAGCGTGCTCAGGGCCCTGAGACGCTTCTTCAGCGGGTTCCACCTTGGAAACGCATCACGCAATGACCTGCCCATAATGCCGTGCTCACTATGCTGGCATTGGCATTGCAATGAACTGGCAATGTCCCCGCCCCCCTGAAATGCATTCCAAGTACAAGTTCATCGATTGAAGGGTAAGGCCAAGGGCTCCGTCCGCCACATGCTTGAGCCCATGAACAATTATCGCATTGGGAAACTGAGAAGTCAGATCTGCCACAACGTCAACTTCGACTTCTTCGATGTCATCAGCTTCACTCCGAGCAGCGGCTGCCGCCGGCGTTGCACGGGCAATGCAATTGGCCTGCTCATCATCATCGTCATCGTTCAGAGCAAGCGCGGCATCGGACTGTCCAGTGTCAGCCGGACCGATGGCGCCCAAGTCGCCCAAGCTGAGGAACTCGGACCTAAGTGGCTAAGTGGGGTGGAGCGTTTAAAGCCTTTGAAGACTATTAGTAGCCTAGATACTGTCCAGCGAGTCCAGTCTCAGCCGCACCGATGGCGCCCAAGGACACGAGCTTCGCTTCAATGTCCGGGGCGTGGCCAATCTTGCTCTCAGTCGAACCTTAGGCTGAGCGCTCCTCACAGTGTGTTCGCGAAGTTACAAAGTAACGGATCTACTTTGCCGACTTCCCTTACCTCCTTTGCTCTAACGACCAGAGGCTACTTCGTGCACTCTTTCGAAAAGCCAATGTCTGAGCTTAGTCGGGACATGCAGATTTGTAGAGGAAAGACGTTAAGTAAGGCCGTCACCTTGATCCGTGCAGCAGCAAATGACTTGCGCGCAGTACTCGCGCAAGTTGGTAGCCCGGTCCGTGTGGGCAACTTCAAGAAGGATCGCATGCAGCAGCGCATCCACTTTGCACGAGTAGGACGTGTATCCTGGCACAAGTCAGCACTGAGCTGCACATTTTCACAGTTTTCACTTATGAGATTATTAGGGCCACACAAGGGGGTTTCCAAAATAATTATTTTTGCACATTTATTGCATATTTTTTGTGCGTCGCGTTTGCGTATTTTTTGCATGTGTTTTTTCGTTTGCAAATATTTTGCATATTTTTTGTGTTTTTTTTTGCATGTGTAATTTTGGGTGTTTAAATGCACAACAGCCACAAAAATATGCAATACACACTGCGTTTTGCATATTTTTTGCGTTTTTTTTGCATGTGTAATTTTGGGTGTTTAAACGCAGGTGTTGCAAGGCTGCTGCCAGGGCCCAGGGCCCAGGCACGCCAAAAATATGCAAAAAATGTGCAAAACACACTGTGTTTTGCATATTTTAGGGGTGCCGGGCCCACCGGCTGGGCCAGGGCACGGCCCGTAAAATATGCAAAACACAGTGTGTTTTGCACATTTTTTGCGTATTTTTGGCGTGCCGGGCCCACCGGCTGGGCCAGGCACGGCCCGTAAAATATGCAAAACACAGTGTGTTTTGCACATTTTTTGCGTATTTTTGGCGTGCCGGGCAGGTCCTGCCAAGGCCCCAGCACCCAAAGGCCCCAAGGCCCAAAGGCACCAAGGTTCAGAACCGTGTGATGCAAAAAAATGCAAAACATATGCAAAAAATATGCAATAAATTTGCAAAAGATTTGCAACACAAAAAAAACATGCAAAATATATGCAAACCCGACGTGCAAAAAATATGCAATCAATTTGCAAAATATCCGCAAAATAATTATTTTCAGTTTCATAGGCTGTAGCCTGCTAATAATCTCATAAGTTTTCACGGCGGCAAAGGCAGCGAAGGCGATACGACAACTACGGCAAATTCTAAATTGCAAATACACCACAGACACCCAACCCAACTGACCCAGCTCTCAGCTCAACTGCTAGCTGATGAGACGATGACTCGCACGTTTGCAAGAACTGCCCTGCTTGGGGCTTGGAGGTCTGATCGCAGGCCTACCACCACAAATCACGCCATCCCAATTCCTACAGCCGGCAACGCCTTTCCCAAGGCACATAATCGGCAATGGTCGACGATGCAGCTGCGGTGATTCGAACTGCGCACCCTTGGCATTCATGACTCCACCAGCCTCGCCAGGCTGTCGCCAGGTCGAGCAGAATGGATGGCTGACAGTGAACTGCACGAAAACACGTGACTCAATGGCTCCATCCAACACGATCACAAGGACAACAAACACACGGGAACCACGAGAATACGAGAACCATGAGAAATGACAATCCATGCTCCAAGTCCAGTACCACTGCGTCTCGTCTCGCTACAACACTGCCGCAGTGAACAATCGGCTGCCTGGGCCTGGTCCGGCTGTGCATCTTCAAGGGCTTGCATGTGGAGCTGCTCAAACGCTTGCACGGCGTCTTGGATCCTTGCATTCAGTCACAGTCATGACTCATGATCTCACAACGCTGGCACGGCACCTCGCTCCTCAACTCCGTGCAAGACTGTGAAACTGCGCATGAGACAGAGGCATCAAGCAGAATCAAGCACGCTGCTACACTTACACATGTCGACAACGTCGAAACCAACACCGACACCGAGTCTCCGGAGCGTCCATTCCTCAGTCATGAATGTTTCCTTTGTTGTCAGCGAGCCGGTGCTGTCATAGCCTAAGCTCACACTGATCCTTGTCGAGGGTTTAAATTGCAATCTCAAGCCTCAAGTCTCAAGCTCGCACTTGAGGTCTCTATGCTGGAATGCCGATCGTCAAAACAACACTTTGAAGTTCGAAGGCTAGCAATGCTGTCAATGGTCTCAAAGTAATCCACCAGGTCTTGAAATCTGTGGCCTTCCATTGCCGCCGTCTATGGCACATGAGCAGGATGTCCAGCAAATACCGCGCCTTTGTCAAAGTGGCGGCTCCGGGGCCCGCAACTGCAGGCGATCTTCCAATGCTCCCAACAGCTGATGTGCCGGCAGCGGCAGCGGGGTCTTCCAGAGAATCGAGGATGTCACCGGAAGCCAACTGTAAAGCTGCCTCCACCGATACCCGAAATCGATGTGTGCTGCGCAGATGTATTGACCTTACTTCGACGTATCTCAAAACTGAGCACAAGATCAAGCGAAGCACAGGGAAGGCTCTAGATCGGATCTTGGACGCTTTTCGAAACTGGAATCATGCTGCATCGGGGCAGGATGTCAACAAGCCCCTGGTTTGCCAAAGCACAACTGCATGAAGCGAAATAGCTGTCCCACGCTGAAGGCGGGTCTTCCGGCACGGCGCTGACCCTGCTTGACCAGGGGTTTGAAAGTCTGGTCCAAAGAAGGAGCTGGCGGCGCAAGCTTCACGAACTCTTCAGATCCTGTCACGTCGGCCTGCTCGATGCTTCAAGGCGAAGGCCAAGGAGCCAAGGCGTCTATCTGCAATTCAAGAACCGGCCTGCCTTCAGCAGCTTCGAAAGCAGGAACATCCCTTGGTGAAAAGATCTCACCTGCAGCAGGAGAACCGCAACGGACCGCAAGCAAACACTAACATCACACAGAATCACACACAACTGCCTGTTCCACAGTACCGTGCGTCAACACGGGCGCAGCGGATGCCATGAAGTGGGATTGCACCAACGAGACGTCCGCAACCACCTCAGATAAGATCTTCTTCACGGCTGAAGCGGCTGAGGCCATGATCACCTGGGCTGATTCCGGTCCTTGAGCATTTGTGGTGAGGGCACTGGGGCCGGTTGTTAAAGGTAGTCTTGTAGTTTGACTGAAAACTATATTCCAATTAGACGCTGCATCTACAGCTTGTTCGGACGGTTGCAGCCTCTAGCGGCCAGCGGCTAGCCCTAGCAGAAGAAACCTGCAAACCTGAATTCCGGACCTTGTGCCTACTTGCAGGCTTGCATGTGCATTTATCGTAGAGTCACTCCGTTGTCCGCTGCGGCCTCAGGCGGCCTTCCGGCCGCGCCGCGCTGCCGCTGGTGTAGCTCGTCGGGCCTTCGGGTCCGAACGGTTTTGAGATTGAGGACGTAGTAGCCTGGTTGTAGTCTGGCAATTCAATGTTCGAAGAGCTTTGTGGGTGTCTGCCGGGAATCGTTTTTGCTGCAGATGTGACAATCAGCAACAGTTGCTCAGCAACACATTTAAAAGTGCCAGGCAGGACGGCAGGAAATATTCCGCTCCAGCAAACCCCAATCTGTACATACTTATGCCCGCATGCAGTCACTGAAGAGGCATGTGGCAAACTTAGCAAGAACGTCATCTATCAGCAGTCGCTGTCGAAATCCAACATACTGAATGGAGTGCCCGGAAGTTCGCAATCATCAAAGGAGTCTGAGTCGTCTCCATGTGGATACGGAATTATTGGGACCCTGTCATCTGTTCCCAGATCATGGGGCTCATCACGGGCGTCTGCCTGCACCGCAACATGCACAAATCGAGCCTGAGGCTGTTGAAAACTTTTGACCTGTTTGGCTGGTGCTCCAGATGAGCAGTTTCAGGAAGCCAAGAGACCACCGCCAGGAACCATATGTGTCACTGTCACTGGAAGAGCAGGAACAGTGACAGGGGAGATCGACCGAGACCGATTTCGACCTGTCACGCTCGTCTGTTGGAGCCGGAGCCCATCAGCGGCTGGTCGCCGAAGGTGTGGGGCCTGTGATGGTCGTGGTCGCGGCGGCGGCAGGCGCACTCCAGCAGCGACAGCAGGGCCCGGGACCGGTGCAGTCGCGTGGCGGGGTGCTGTGGTGAATGGTTTGGAATCAAACTCTGTGGGATACGCTAGGCAAGCCATGCCAGAGCCAGAGCCTCTGCCACCACCTGAAGCTGGAGCTCTGGACACAACATGCGGGACTTCGACCGATTCAATGGCGCCTGCATTGCCTGCATCCTCCTCCACGGAAGGCCCAGCCAAGTCCGCTGAAAATTCGTCAGGAGCGAACAGCTGGTTGCGCACAAGAAAATCGCGCCTGATCTGCACAGGCACATCTGCAAATCCTGGATCGTGTGGAATTGGCATGGCTACCGTGAAGCCACAGAAAGTAAAAACACACGTAAATGCTTGGATTGAGAGAGCTTGTCAACAGTATCAGCATAAATAAGTATAATTGCAGTACCCTGGTCCTGACTGTCCCGAGAACCTGCGTTGCTTCAGCATGCACCATGTGATGCCTGCAAGCTCGCAACATGAAATTCCACTATGGCTCCTGGAAACCCCAAACCTAGGCATGTAGGGCTTTGGGGTTGAAGGAGCCACAAACCAACGAAGGATCTGAGTTTTGAAAAGCTCCGACATCGCAATTGCAAGCAGTAATGGAGCATTGCAAGCATGCGCAGGATGTCACACGGTAAGCGCTCAGATCCCAGAATTCACAGAAGCAGGCCGCAGGCCGGCGCAGCAGGAAGCCGACCAAACCCAAACCCCCAAAACGGCCTCTCCGCACTCCGCGCCGCTGGTCGGTACGATCTGATGCCTGGAGCCGGGCGGGTGTGGGGTCAGCATGCTAAAGGCGACGAGCGGCTCAGAACTGCACGAGAAGAAAGCAAACCCCAAACCGCAAACCCGAACCAAACAAAAAACAAAATCTTGGCGCCAGACCAATGACAAGGATATGCTGACCTGGGCAGAACAGTCCAAAAGTCCAGCGAAACCACTGCTACGACTACGAGGCTGCACTGATATGAGAATGCTGTCACGCTGTCAAGCTGTCAGCTCAGAACTGAAATTATGCAATGCTCAAATCAAAGAAAGAAGACCGGATTTTCCTCTGGAGCCGGAGATCGCACGCTCTGAGCTGCGCCACACGAGTGGGCCAAAACTTCTCAGCCATTTGCCAGCTTTGCCTGTGTCAAGGAATCAAGGCCTCCTCATCTTCAGCAAGCTTCAGCATCAAAACACCGGCCACGGCTACCGTGAAAAGTGCCCGGACAAAGCACCGGTTGAAACCCATCTGATCCTCCAGCAGTGCCTCACCTCGAACGGGAACGCGATGGTGCCCGACATGGCGGTGTCCGACATCCCGGGGGTCCTGGTTCCAACGGTTCCAATGCCTTAAGCCGATTCGACAATCGAGCCACCTGGTCCGTCAGGCTGTTCGTCGTCGCCAGCAGGGACTGAAGAAGCTTGCCCTGTTTCCGAATCGTGGCCCGGCTCTGACACAGGTCAACAAACAAGATGTCCATTTCACCCTGCTGACAAACCAGCTTTTGTCTGAGCCACGCCAGGTCCTTCTCCCCACCATCTTCAGACAGTCCTGCAGGACGGCTTGCCTCGGCCTCGGCTCCCTGACCAAGCATGTACCGTGCCTCAGAAGGCCCTGCCGTCAGATTTGGGAAAATGGGACCATTGTCTTCCAACAGCTCATCTGCAGAAGCACTCGGCATCACAGATCTCCGCCCTTCAGCTGCATCATCCATAGCGAATCGGAACTAGACTTCTAGAAGCAGGCCTGCGCAGAGCTGCCCCGACTGGTTACGGGCAGAAGGCCCCCAAACACTTGACCCAAAAAGGCAACGCATTGGTGTACCAGTGTACCCTGAGAGAAGTAACTGGCGTTCATAAAACCCTGCGTGTGACATCGTTTGACGCTAGGAAAGGGCCTATGGTTTAACCCGAGCTGCAAAGCAAGACGAGGCAACTAGGCCCAAGACGATGGGCTGGGCTCCAGCACGAGGCCAGTCGGGGAAGAGACCTAACCACAGCGAGAGCCCGGGACTCCCGGACGTACGGGGCTGCGCAGGGCACTCAGGAGCAGGAAAGACAGCGGCGCAGAGCCCTGAGCACGAAGAAAGCCCACAGCAACCCTAACCCTAGCAAGTCAGAAAAAACCCTTCCAACCAGATTCAAACCCTTCTGAGATCTTCTAAGCATCGGCGCGGGCCGACGAGGTCACGAGGTTCAACCTGACCAGGAGCCAGGAGCACAAGGTTACGAAGGTTCGGGCAGCAGTTCAGAAGTTCAGGTGTTGCGATTGCGTCGGGGTTTTAATCAATGGATGGCAGGGACCGACCGAACCCGGAACACAAAGGTTCGAGTTTGTAATTGTAGCGCTAACTATAAAGACGCAACGTCCAGTCCAGATGCAGATGCGGCACATTCTTGGGAACTAGAAACCAGAGGCAGCAGTGTCCCTGAATACTTGAAAAACCGAAATGGATGCGCCGCCCCCAAACTCCCCACCTGACTGACTATGTCTTCTGCACAGTGCACAGATCAGCTGCCAAAAGAGGCAACACCACTGACACTCACTCAAAAACTTACACTCGCAATTATACATGGCGGGGGAGCAAACCAGAACCAGAACTCCGAAACTTCGACGTCACGCCGCCACGCTCCAAGGCTCCGGCGTACCAAATGAAGTCACGAAAGCCAGGAAAATTGGAGGCAAGAGGAACCTTCGGGGAGAATGGGGGGGCAGGGCCGGCACAGTACAGAGGCAAAAGGCACTCCGGAAATGCAGCGCAAAACTCTCCTCACACGGGGCAGTGAGGGGCGGCCTAGGGTAACCGGACGGGTTAGGGCGGGGGAGCAAACCAGAACCGGAACTCCGAAAAAAAGCAAACCCTGAAACCCTGAGGCGCTCACACACCACGTCCAAAGGTCCGGACCTGGGCAAACGGTCAAGCGTGGCAAGTGCGGCCTACGGGCGGGAGAGGAAAAGGGCGGGAAGCAAAGGAGTTTGGGCCGGTTCGGGGTTCGATGCGCAATCACTGGCAGGGATTCCAGGGACAACCTACACGGGACGAACAAAAGGTTTGGGTGCCCTGAATGCCCTGAATGCCAAAGGAAACCAGGAAAAGAACCCAAGCCCAGCAATGCTCTGACGAGGACCAAGGCCCAGACAGGTGGAGCAGCTACGACGCCAAAGCCGAGAAGGACCTGGCCGCAAGACACGGGGCCCGGGGCTTCCGGGTGGGGTTCGGGAACGCAGGGCACTCTAATTACGGGCGGGGAGCAGAACATAGCAGAACCAGGCACTCCTGCGCGCACTCGGACTCGGAGACACAACCCGCGAAAATCCGAAACCTTAAGAACCCTCTGAGTGGAGCACCCAGCGAAGAAGGTCTGGACCTGGGCAGGAAGGCAAGGGTACAGTGAAAGGCGCCCAGGGTTAGGGAACCCCGAAAAACCAAAACCAAACCCCGAAGCCGAACGGGGTTAAGGTTAAGGTGCCCTGAACACGTAGGGATTTGGGAAGAAGGGCGCGGTGCCATCAATGATCATGTGGACTGTGGGGAACCAGGAAAACCCAAGCAGCACACGGCGCACTTCTCCAAAAACAAAAGGCCGTGAACAGATACTAATGACACCAGCGAAAACTTTTGTTTCAGGAGTCGGCGCCTCGGACTTCAGCCGGCGGTTAGGCCAAAACTGCTCACTTCATCGCCTTCATGCCTTTCATGAGGCTTCATCGCTATCTCTGTCCATCTGCATCATTGACTCTTTGACGACGACGATGAAGACTTCTCGCCCTCC